TGCAAATCATTTTCTTATGTTCCAAATTTTTCCTATGTTCTAAAGTTGTTCGTATATTCTACACCTATGTTCTAAAGTTTTTTCTACCTATGTTCTAAAGTTTTTTTTTTTTCCTATGTTCTAAATATTCTTTTACCTATGTTCTAAATTCTTTTGCCTATATTCTAAATTTAGTCTACTTATGTTCTAAAGTTGTTTTTCTTTTCTATGTTCTAAATTTTTACTAGCTATGTTCTAAAGTTTTATTAGTAACAATGTCAATAATTTGTGCAAAATTTGGGATAGTAGAATGTAACGAGTAAGTAACGGCACTCAATGTAGGAATTAGGTGTATTTGAATCAAAGGTTAGCCGTGAGTTAACCTTTCCCTAATATGAGACAATGCTCCAATCGTGTCATTACCGTTACATAATCTAGGTTTAGTTAAGCATAATTAAACATGCCGCTCCTGAATGAGCATAATCCCTGCAACACACAACTGAAAGTTTAATTGACAGTTCATTGTGTTTACTGACCCAAGACGGGAAGTCATCACCTTAACCATTGGAATTCCAATAAGAGGCTCAGACTTTCGAATGCACCAGCTTATTGTCCTACCAAAACAAGACAGTTGAATGCGAAGAATATCGACAACACAAAAATGAAGGCTAAAGCAGTCCCATAATATAGAATGAACTATACTCTTTATTATTGCCAGAAATGGGGAACAAAAGAAAAGGCCAAAGATAAAATAACAAATAGAAACCAAAACACCAACGCCTAGAAACTGCCAAAAAAAACCCGAACAAAAACAGGAAACAGCAATAACAGCAAGCAGAAACAGCGGCAGCAAGTGGAACCAGCAGCACCAACCTAAAACAGCAGCAGCAACCAGAAACAGACCTCAGCATACCAGCTGCACCACCAAACGGAAAACAGCAACAGCCCGAGCCCAGAAGGCCAGCTGCAGCACCAGACAGCAACACAGCACAAAGAAACAGCAGCTAGCAGGAGACTAGGCTGCTAACACCAAGAACAGCACCAGCAGCACCAGGAAACAGCTAGCAACACACAGCAAGGCAGGCATCACAGGTTCACCACAAACAGCAGCCTGAAACAGAGAAAGCCAGCCTGCACACCAAGCAACAGCTGCACATAACAGCACAAAGCAGGAAAGCTGGAGCAGGACACAGATAGGAGCAAGAAACAGAAAAGAGCAAACCCAGCTAGGCAACAACAGTCAACACCAAATCATTATAGTTCACAAAAGAGAAGAGGACCAGTCTAGACCAGAATGGAAGAGCACCACATGTAGCTTCAAAACTTCCCATAAAACAAAATGGAGAATAACCAGAAGTGTTGAACGAATAATGCTGGTTACTTCATATATTTCCACTATGATCAACACCATGTTCTAAAAGAGTTTAGAACATGCTTAAAAAGAGTTTAGAACATGCTAAGCTATGTCAGTTGCTTGCATATCTTAAAAGTGTATTTTAGATCATAACATTGACATTCTATAAACATATCGACAGGAACAACGTGGAAAGATCAACACCATGTTCTAAATTATTTCAACCTATGTTCTAATTTTTTTCTATGTTCCAAATTTTTTCTACCTATGTTCTAAAGTTTATTTTCAGCCCTGCAATCACAAGTTCACAACCAACAACCCCTAACCAATTAGCTGCTGTTGCATAAATCAACCACCACACCACAACCCCTACAAGCAGGGGCAATCGCACCAACATCACCAATTTCGAAATCAAAATTCGAAAAAATCAGCAAAAATTGAACCCTAAATTCGAACTATAGATCCGCAAAAATAAGAAAAAATAGAACATAGAGAATAAGCCAGATTTGTTTTTAGACATGACGAATTGATGCAAGCAGAACAAGTAATGCCAAGTTGTTCAAGCTATGCTTGCTCATTAATCGAGTTTAAAAGTTTTGTTTAGCCTGAATTGTTTACTTAACAAACAATTTTTAACAGAACTTATTCTTATTCTTGAGTGTATCGGGGTAGGCATTATACACAAGTAGTTGTTACACCATAATTTGGATGACTAATGCTATGAACTGAACTAATGACCAACAAAAAAAGGAAAAAAATAAATGCTTTTCAATTTTAATAACACGAGTTTAATTACCCAAAACCTGATATATTTAATCAATGAATCAAAATTGATACAGAACATTACAGCAATGAATATAAGCAGGGAAAAATGGCTGCAAAGCCACTAATATAATCATTGTGCTATACACACTATTGCACAAAAAAGAGAGAAAACAAGCGGTTTGTTGTGTGTTGAATCCTAAATCCTAAATTCGAATACCCTAAATTAGAATCCTAAATCCGCAAAAAAAGAACCCTAAATTCGAACGCGAAATTTGAAAAAATCGAACTCAAAAAAATCAAACTCCATGCGAAATTCATTAAAATCAAAACAGAAAAACGCAAATATCAAATCACAAAATCGCAAAATCAAATCAAAAAATCGGAAACATAAAATCGCAAAAATCAAATCAAAAAATCGCAAAATCTATGAACATCATGCTAAGTTCATGGAAATTTGAACAAAATCGAAAAAAAAACATACCTGAGTCGAAAATCCTTCAAATTGCAATTTCTATGGAAATTTTTGGGGGTTTGCAGAGAGAGAATGTGATGAACACGAAGAGAGAGAAAGTTAGAGGAGAGAGAAAATTTTGATCGGTTGGTAGAGGGTATAAGGAAAAATACGTGTTTTAATCTTAACCGTCTAAATTACCTTAATCCTACGGCTGAGATTGGTTCTTATATAACTAGGGTTCTTATATAAGGAGGGGTTCTTACCGGATCCCTCCCCTATATATATATATAGGGGAGGGATCCGGTAAGAACCCCTCCTTATATAAGAACCCTAGTTATATAAGAACCAATCTCAGCCGTAGGATTAAGGTAATTTAGACGGTTAAGATTAAAACACGTATTTTTCCTCATACCCCCTACGGCCCTACCACCCGATCAAAATTTTCTCTCTCCTCTAACTTTCTCTCTCTTCGTGCTCATCACATTCTCTCTCTGCAAACCCCCAAAAATCTCCATAGAAATTGCAATTTGAAGGATTTTCGACTCAGGTATGTTTTTTTTTTCGATTTTGTTCAAATTTCCATGAACTTAGCATGTTGTTCAAGTAGATTTTGCGATTTTTTGTTTTGATTTTTGCGATTTTATGTTTTCCGATTTTTTGATTTGATTTTGCGTTTTTTTTTTTTTTTTTGATTTTGTTCAAATTTCCATGAACTTAGCATGTTGTTCAAGTAGATTTTGCGATTTTTTGTTTTGATTTTTGCGATTTTATGTTTTCCGATTTTTTGATTTGATTTTGCATTTTTTTTTTTTTTGATTTTGTTCAAATTTCCATGAACTTAGCATGTTGTTCAAGTAGATTTTGCGATTTTTTGTTTTGATTTTTGCGATTTTATGTTTTCCGATTTTTTGATTTGATTTTGCGTTTTTTTTTTTTTTTTGATTTTGTTCAAATTTCCATGAACTTAGCATGTTGTTCAAGTAGATTTTGCGATTTTTTGTTTTGATTTTTGCGATTTTATGTTTTCCGATTTTTTGATTTGATTTTAGGTTTTTAATTGAATTTTGATTGTCAATTTTGTGCTTTGTAACTGAAATTGGTGGTAAGTTTCTGCTGGTAATTAGAGTTTTGCGTTTTAAATGAATTTTGATTGTCAGTTTTGTGCTTTGCAACTGAAATTGGTCCTGAGTTTCAGTTGATATATTAGAACCTTGCATTTTAAATGAATCTTGATTACCAGATTTGTAATTTGACATAAATTGCTTATGAAATTTTCCACTTGCTCTTTTTATTTATTTTTGGATATTTTACAATTAGTTGATCATATTTAGGAGTATCATGTGATTGAATATAGCTTGAATCAAATATGGCTTCAAAATGCCTTGAGTAGTTTATAGACGATCTAATTGTGTAGCGAGACCGGGAGTTGAAAAAAAAAAAATTTGCAATGTCAAGTAAACACTTGATATTTGTAGAACTTGGAGGAGATGCTTGATTTTTATTTTGTGCTTTGATCTGTAGCATCGAAATGAATTGTGCCAGATTAGTGAGGATCAGAAACAGTGAACAGAATTTTTAGTCATAGGAGTTACTCCCAATGAAAATTGATTTCTAGAAGGAATCTCTTAGGCTGAAAATTCCTAAGTAGTTTATCGCTTAAGTTGTGTTGATTTAAAAGAAACAATTCAAACTAACTTTAATCCATGGAATATTATTGCAATGGAGATTAATTTTCCTATGTTGGTTCTTTGCTTGAAAATTTGGAGAGGAAAGGAAGAAGGGGAGATGAAGGGTTAGAAATGGAAGGGGGGAGGAAGTTAAGTTGGGGAAGCACATGTAGCTCTCCTTACTTAGAACATGAATGCTTTTCCCCCCCTTAGAAAAACTATTCCAACCTGGAAAGTTATTTTCATCCACTTACAAACCAAGCTAAGGAAAATTGGAAAAATTAGTGATTTTTTCGAATTTTGATTTCGAAATTGGTGATGTTGGTGCGATTGCCCCTGTTTGTAGGGGTTGTGGTGTGGTGGTTGATTTATGCAGCAGCAGCTAATTGGTTAGGGGTTGTTGGTAGTGAACTTGTGATTGCAGGGCTGAAAATAAACTTTAGAACATAGGTAGAAAAAATTTGGAACATAGGAAAAAATTAGAACATAGGTTGAAATAATTTAGAACATGGGCTGAAAATAAACTCAATCAAACCTTATCATGTTTCTGTTTCATTTGTCTTTTAAATTTCTAGTTTACTCATTCTATTTTGGGTTTTTCACTCTCCAGCATGTTCTAAACTCTTTATAAGCATGTTCTAAACTATTTTTCAGCATATTCTAAATTATTCCTATGTTCAAAAATATAATAATAATGTTGGAATGTTACTAATGTTTTTGATTTCTTTATGTTGCAGTAAAATGCAAGGCCAAAATGAAGAAAAATCAGAAGGAGGATTTACTAATATACAAGAAGAAGAAATTACTTATGTAAGAAAAAGGTAACTAAACTAATGTTCTAAACTTTACCTATTATGTTTTAAATTTTGTTCTAAAGTTTTCCAATATGTTCTAAAGTTTTCCCTTAAGTTCTAAAGATTTGTATTATGTTCTAAAGTTTTCCATTATGTTCTAAAGTTTTCCATTATGTTCTAAAATTTTCTCTTATGTTCTGAAGATTTGTATTATGTTCTAATATGTATCCATTATAGTTTATGTTCATCTTATCCCTTTATATTTGCACTCTATTTAATGTTAGTTGTATTCTAATTATTTTTTATTGTTTTTAAAGGAAAGTTGAAAACGTTGAAGCGGAAGTAATTGATAGATCGGAATTTGAGAAGCATATTGAAAGTAAAAGTGTTGCTAAAAGACATAGAAAACTTCCAAAAAGGCTTCAACCACCTCGAAAATTGCAAAAAAAAGGAAGGAAGAGAAAAAGATCAAGAAGAAGGAAAAGATCAAAAAGAAGAAGAGGGTAATAATGTTGAGGATGATGACGAGAATAATGATAGTGAAGATGATGGTGAGGATGATAATAAGGGTGATGTAAAGATGAAAGAGAAAGATGAAAAAGAGGAGATGGAAGATGATAGTGAGGAGGAACAAAAAATCAATAAAAAAAATCAAACTCAGGTAATAATACTCTTTAATCTTTACAATCTTTATTTTTATGTTCTAAAGTGCACGCTTATGTTCTAATTTTGCTTATCTATGTTCTAATTATGTTTATCTATTCATGGTGAGGATGTGAAGAAGAAGAAAAGAAAGATTGAAAAAGAAGAAGATGGTGAGGATGTCCAAGTAGTAGAAGCTAATGAGCAAGATAAACTAGTTAAGAGGCAACCTTATCAAAGAGTACCTCCTACTCAATTCATGAAGGATGTGTTGATAAATCTTTCGGAAAAACAAAAGCAAGCTATTCGGAACATTGGTTTTGGAGGCTTTTTGGAATTGGATTTACCAATCCATATTAATTCTATGTAAGTAGTAGAATGTTATGTTCTAAAATCATATTCTAAAATCATAAGTATTATCAATGTTATGTTCAAAATTATGATTTGTCATGTTTGAATTGCTATACACTAATGTTCTAAATTATAAGATTATGTTCTAAATTAGTTATGCTCTAAATTTTGTGCATATGTTCTAAATAATATGATTATGTTCGAAATTAGCTATGTTCTAAATTATGTGCATATGTTCTAAATTGTATGATTATGTTCTAAATTATGTGCATATGTTCTAAATAATATGATTATGTTGTAAATTACTTATGTTTTAAAGTTACTTCTTGTATTCTAAAATTATGATCTCTCATGTTTGAATTGCTATACACTAATGTTCTAAATTAATTTTTTGTTATGTTCTAATGTATGTTTATTATGTTCTAAAATAGACTTTTTTTATTATATAATGTTCTAAATTATGTTCAAAAGTTTAAATATTATACTAAATGTTTTAAACTTCTATGTTCTAAAGATTGACTATTATATTCTAAATATAGTTGTATTGTGCTTTAAATCTTACATTTTTCATTATAATTCTAGGTTGACAGAAAACTTGGTTACGAATTTTGACACGGAGAGATGTTGTTTGATGTTACCAAAGAGAAAACAAGAAATATTTTTGGAGGCAATTGATGTTCATTTGGCTTATGGGTTTCCATTGGGAGGCAAAAGGATTGAGCAACGAAATGATGAGTCAAATCTGAAATGGAGCAAGTTTCTAAAAGCTTGGAGAAGCAAGTTTGGCCTCAAAAAAGTATGATGATATAATGTGGTTATGTTTTAAATTTTATGTTCTAAAGTATGAATTTTATGTTCTAAAACGTAGATCATTTATGTAGTTATTTGACTTGTAATGTTCAAAATTATATTTAGCTATTTTTATGATATTATATTGGTATAAGATGGTTGTGTTATAAATTGTATGTTCTAAAGTGCTTTGCTTATGTTCTAAAGTGTTTTCTGCTTTAAAATAGATCTATTATCTCCATAGGTTTTAATTTATATGTTTTTTTTTTACCTCTAAAAGGGAAGTCCAACCAACAAGAGATTGATTGACAGAATTCAAGAATTGAAGAAGGAAAAATCAGTTTCTGATGAATTTCTTTGGAACTTTGTGGTATGTGTTGTCAATTGTTGCATTCGATCAACAAACAACCCACAACTATACATTAAATTCTTGTATAGTTGTATGGATGTAAAGAAAATTGCTGAATTGGATTGGTGCACATTTGTGATTGAGCACTTGAAAGATTCTATAAGTGTATGGAAGAAGGGAAATTCTTACTTTACAGGTCCTTTACCTTTTCTAATGGTAAGTTTTAAATTCTTACCATTATGTATATATATTATTCTTGTTATGTTGAAAATGTGTGAAAAATATTCTAATTAATTTTAACATGTACTAAATAGGTATTCTATTTTGATCGTCTACAAAGAGGAGGGATAGAAAAACCAAGAAAATGTCCACTAATTTCGGTGTGGACAAAGGAAAGGATTCAAGTGAGATATAAGTTTGAAAAAGATCATGGATTTGGATATGGAAAACTCTTGGAAAGAATGGAATCAATTGTGGTATGATATTTGTATATGCTTATGTTTAAACACTACACTTTATATTCTATCTATATTTGCTTACGTTCTAAAGTTTACCCTTTATGCTCTAAACTATATATTTTATGTGATAACTGTTTTAATATTTACCCCTAAATATTCTAAACTATATACTTTATGTGATAAACTATTTTAACATTTACCCCTAAATATTCTAAACTTTATATTCAACTTACTTTTGCCTATGTTCTAAAGTTTACACTTTATGTTCTAAAGTTTACCCATTATGTTCTAAAGTTTATCCTTTATGTTCTAATCACTCAACTTACTTTTGCCTATGTTCTAAAGTTCTCTCTTTATGCTCTAAAGTTTATCCTTTATATTCTAAATTTTGTAATTCATATATTAATGTGTAGGAAGAAAACAAGAAACAATCAAGACAAGAGGACAAGGAAAAGAGAAAGGAAGAGTCATCAATGGTAATTATACCTTTTAAATTATTACTACAGATGCTTATCTTGTAAAAATTGAAAACACTTTATTCTAACCTTTATATTCTAATCTTTAAAATTTATGTTGTTGTTTTCTAAATTTTATAATTTATATACTAGAAGGCACCAAAAGGAAAAAAGAAACAACCAAAACAAAAGGAAAAAGAGAAGAGAATGGAAAAATCATCAATAGGTTCTAGTTCTACAACTTCTCGAAATGACATGATGGTATGATTTAGTTTATGTTCTAAATTATATTTTATGCTCCATTTAATCCTTTTCTGTTAAATTATCCATGTTATGTCCTTTATGTTCTAAAATATTTTTGTGTTCTAATGAAGGGCTTTTTGAGCAAATTTGGAGATTTGGCAAAAACACTTGCCTCGAATGTTAAAGAGATGTATGGCATGTTAGAACAAGCAAAAGATCTTTTTGTTGAGGAAGAAACAACAGGAAAAATGCAACATCTCATAGACAACATATGGTGCAAGTACACAACAAAGGTATTATAATTATGTTCTAAAGTATTTTCTGGTTGTGTTCTAAAGTGTTTTCAGCTTATGTTCTAAAGTATAATAAATTTATATAAATATTATGCATATTATGTTCTAAATTATAATTTCTTATTTTATAGACATTCGTGAACCAAGAAGAAAAGAAAAGCCCTTCTATACTCAGCCAAGATCAACATGTCTTCGATGAACCGGCGTTTATTGAAGAATTGGATATGGTTATGGATAAGGCATGGAAGAAATTCGAGGAAACAAGGTCACCAAAGTCACCGACAGTTGGTAATTTCACATGTACATGCTTAATTTCCAAATTATACTTATGTTCTAAATCAGATGCTTATGTTTTTAAAGTACTTTTTTATGTTCTAAAACATGCGCTTAAATCACATGCTTATGTTCTAAATTATATGATTATGTTCTAAATTAGTTATGTTCTAAATTAGTTATGTTCTAATTGTTAAGCAGATTTGAGATCAAAGGAAGAGGAAAAAGATAAGAACAAAGAAGAGAGAAATGAAGAGAACAAAGACAAAAACTTGTTGATTCCCTCACCAGTAGTTGGTAATTTCACATTATTTTCAAATTCATTTTTTATGTACTAATATTTACTAGATATGTTCTAATATTACTTCTTATGCTCTAAATTTTTTCTGGTTATGCTTTAAAGTTAATTCTTAATTTTTTATATTCTAACTATTTCTAGGTTGTCTCCTAATTGTATATATTTCTTATGTTCTAAAGTTACTTTTTATTTTCTAATTATTTTTTGCTATTTGCTATAATACTTAATTTTTATGGTGTAATTGCTATGAAGATTTGGGATCAAAAGAAGAAGAAAAAGAGCAGGACAGAAAAGAGAGAAACGAGGAGGAAAAAATTGAGAAGAAAGAGAAAAGGAATGAGGAGTCACCAAAAACCCCAATTCCTCCAAAAAAGAAGCAACCTTTTGATATAACTCCTCCAAGTTTCAACTTATTGACCCCCTCACCAGCAGTTGGTAGTTTTACATTATTTTCAAACTCTTTTCTTTTGAACTAATATTACTAGATTTGTTCTAAAATTACTTCTTATGTTATAAATTTTTTCTGTTATGTTCTAAAGTTATTTCTGATGTTCTAAATTTTTTCTAAATCAGATGCTTATGTTTTAAACTACTTTCTTATGTTCTAAATTATGTGCATATGCTCTAAATTATATGATTATGTGCTAAATTATGTGCATATGCTCTAAATTATATGATTATGTTCTAAATTATGTGCATATGTTCTAAATAATATGATTATGTTCTAAATTAGTTATGCTCTAAATTATGTGCATATTTTCTAAATAATATGATTATGTTCGAAATTAGTTATGCTCTAAATTATGTGCATATGTTCTAAATTGTATGATTTTGTTCTAAATTATGTGCATATGTTCTAAATAATATAATTATGTTGTAAATTAGTTATGTTCTAAAGTTACTTCTTGTGTTCTAAATTTTTCTGGTTATATTCTAGTTATTTCTAATGTTCTAAATTTTTTCCAACTATTTCTATGTTGTGTCCTTATTGTTTCTACTTATGGTTAGATGTCCCAGAAAATCAAGAAGATAATGAAGCAGAACTCACTTACGAAGAAGTGACAGCAAATGTTCTAAATTGTGCTTTTCTGAATCCAGATCATCCACCTACATTGGATGAAGAGGAGAAGCAAGAAGAGGAAAAAGAGGAGAAGAAAGAAGAGGAAAAAGAGGAGAAGAAAGAGGAGAAGAAAGAAGAAAAGGAGAAGAAGAAAGAAGAAGAAAAAGAAGAGAAGCAAGAGGAGAAGAAAGAAGAAAAGGGGAAGAAGAAAGAGGAGGAAAAAAAGGAGATCCAAGAGGAGAAGAGAGAAGAAAAGGGGAAGAAGAAAAAGGAGGAAAAAGAGGAGATCCAAGAGGAGAAGAGAGAAGAAAAGGGGAAGAAGAAAAAGGAGGAAAAAGAGGAGAATCAAGAGGAGAAGAAAGAAAATGAAGGAAGCAAGAATGAAGAGAAGAACAAAGAAGAAAAAAATGAGAACAAGAAAGGGTAATCATTTTGTAAACATTAGATCTTTAGGTTAGAAATATTTAGAAAAGTTAGGTTAAACTTTAAAACAAATGTTGGTTATGGTTTAGTTAAATTTTAATTTAGAACTTGGTAATAATAAATTTTGGTTTGATTTGGTTATGGTTTTTGTTATCAATAAATTTTGGTTTGATTTAGTTATGGTTTTTGTTATCTATGTGATATTTTTAAATTGAATTAAGTAGGAAACAAGGAGAAGAAAAAGGAGAAGAAAAGACACGGAAAAAAAAAGGAAAGGATAAGCTTCCAATGTACTTGCGTTCACCTTTCATGGTTGAACATGAAAAACTTTTCAAGAATGTGGACAATAGAAAGGTAGCTGAGTATGCGTTTGCTCAAGGAGATAATAAGTAAGACTTTAAAACTTTAAAATTATATGCTTATGTTCTAAGCTATATGCTTATGTTCTAAGCTATATGCTTATGTTCTAAGCTATATGCTTATGTTCTAAACTATATGATCTAAGCTATAAATTATGTTCTAAACTTCATTCTTATGTTCTAAACTGCGTGTTCTAAGCTACGAGATTATGCTATAAAGTACATGTTTAAAACTATATGCTTATGTTCTAAAATAGGTACTTATGTTCTAAACTATATTCTTATGTTCTAAATTATGTGTTTATGTTCTAAACTACATGCTTATGTTCTAACTACATGCTTATGTTCTGATTTTATTTTTCTGATTTTAGGGAGCTTTTGTATGCTGATAACATGGGGACAACGATTACGAGAGATGAGATTCATAGTCTCATAGAAGATAAGCACATGTTGAACAATGTTGTGGATGCTTATGTTTGCCTATTGAATTTTGAAAATAAAAGACGTGGTGTAGACAAGAAGAGTAGATTCTTTTTCACTACTGAATGCTATGTATGTTTTCGAACTTAAAATTATAACTGTGTTCTAAGAGTAGATTCTTTTTGTTTCTCATATAGATTATACTATGCACCTATGTTCTAATTACTTATGTTTTAATTTCTTTTTCTTTTTCAGCTCATACGTTGTACAAAAAAAATACTTCAAATCAAATGAAAGGCAAGATGATAGAATGAAGGCTTTGTTTGATAGAATGCAACAAGAAATGACAACGGCCGAAGTAACAAGCTTCAAAAGCATTCAATTGGTAACTTGGTATCTTATTATGTTGTACTTTTTTCTTAATATATGTTCTAATTATTGGTTTTGTTTATGTTCTAATTATTTTTATCTATGTTTTAAAGTATCTACTTATGTTCTAAACTACTTATTTATCTTCTAAACTACTTACTTATGTTCTAAACTACATGTTCTTAGCTACAAGCTTATTTTCTAAAATACATGTTATAAAAATTATATGCTTGTGTTCTAAACTATATGCTTATGTTCTAAAATGCATGCTTATGTTCTAATTTTGCTTATCTATGTTCTAATTCTGTTTATCTATTAGGTTTTCTTCCTGGTCGTTTTACCAGATCACTACTATTTGCTGTGTGTCAACTTTGTGGAAGGAACATTTGATTTGATTGACAACAGATTTCTTCCACCAAATATTCCTTTTCAAAATAAATATGGAAATTACCATAGATTAATGGTAAGACATCAAAGTTTACATTTTTTTAATTATACTTTTGTTCTAACTTTTGCCTTATATGTTCTACAGTTTTCCCTTTATGTTCTACAGTTTTTCTTTATGTTCTAAAGTTTACCTTATATGTTCTAAAGTTTATCCAATTTTTCAGTTGAATGCATTTGGTGATTTCGTTCACTCAATTGACTCAAATATAAAGAGTGACTTTGTATCCTCCTTCAAAACAAGAAACTTGAGTATGTCATGGAAGAGCAATAAGAACAAACATGATTGTGGAGTGTTCCTGTTGAAGCACATGGAAACATATGAAGGAGAATCTGTAAAACAATGGAATTCGGGACTAGAATTAGACAATGTAAGTTTAAAACATAAGATACATGTTTTAAATTAGTTTTGTTTATGGTTTTGGTGTTATGGTTTTTTTAGTGTTGTGGTTTGGTTTGGTTATTGTTTAGATATATTATGGTTTATTATATTTATTTATACTTATATGCTAAATTATATTCATGTTCTAAATTATATGCTTATGTTCTAAAGTATTTCTGTTTATGTTCTAAAAGTTACTCTTTTTTTTTTTTTTTTTGCATTTTGACCAAATGAAAAAATTAAGAGTGGAGCATTGTGGGAAGATAATAACAGCAGAAGTAAATGAAGAATGGAGCAAAGTGATTAGGAGATCAAAAAAGTGGTCAAAGGAGAACAAAATGGATATATGATTGTTAAGATCTTAAGTTTATATTTGTAGAGAGATATTTGCAAAGAATATAACAGTAATTTCTTATGTTCTATGTATTTACCTGTTACAAGAAATATATTGTTGAATCATATTAAATGCTAAAATTTTAATATAAAATATATCATATAAACTTATATGCTAAATTATATTCATGTTTTAAATTATATGGGTATGTTCTAAAGTATTTTTGATTATGTTTTAATAATTATATGCTTATAAAGTTAGGATATTAGAATATATTATTATATATTAATTTTGACTTAAAACTTAAAGTGTAGAACATTAGAACATAAGAAAATTAAAAAAAAAAGTAACAAGAAATGACAACAGCCAAAGTAACAAGATTCCAAAGCATTCAATTGGTAACTTGATTCTAATTATATCTTATTATGTTGTACTTTTTTCTTATTACATGTCCAAATTATTGATTTTGCTAATATTCTAATTATTTTTATCTATGTTCTAAAGTATTTGCTTATGTTCTAAACTGGCTGCTTCTAATCCATTACTTTTGCTTTATTTTTCCTTTTCAATACAATGCATACACTCTTTAGTGCATATCTAAGAAGGCATATGTAAATCAATGTTAAGAAACTTGAATAAATAAAAGTTGATTAAAGCAAGATTCAACTAAATGATGTTTAATAAAGGTATCTAAAATGCTTGTGCTATCATTACTCGTAGTTCAAATTGACTTAATAAAACAACTTATAATTACGAAAAGGGGGGAAGATGAAAAGACAGGAGATGTTATAAAACATTATAATCAACTTTAATTAACATAAAAATTGATAAGAAAAACACTAGTAGAGATACTCTGAATAATAATTGGACAAAAAAGAAATAAAAATATATTGTTTCTAAAAGTAAAAAAATTGAGTTCTTATATTTTAAGAATTACATGAATAATATTTTACGTGCTAGTAAATGAGATATTGTTTCTAAATATATAACATCTCATACAACTGGATTAATAGTATATTCATCAACCTGTAAAGAAAAAAAATAAAACAATATTAGAACATAAGCACATAATTTAGCATTAAAAAATGTTATAACATGCCATTTCTATTAGTTTAGAACACATGATATTATATAGAGTAAAAACTTTAGAATATTTAAAGAAACCTTTAAAACATATAAAGAAAACTTTAGAACATATAAAGAAAATATTTTGAACATAAAGAGAAAAGTTAAAATATAAAGGAAAACTTTAGAACAAAATGAATAACTTTATATTCTAAACATTAGAGCATATTGAATTACACTAAAACAGAAAGAATAAACATTAGAACATAGAGAAAACACTTTAGAACATAGAAAAGTAACTTTAGAACATAGAGAAAACACTTTAGAACATATTGAATTACTTTAGAACATATATGAATAACTTTATGTTCTAAACTTGCTTAGAACATAATTACTTTAGAACAAAATAAATAACTTTATGTTCTTAACATTAGAGCATATTGAATTACATTAAAACAGAAAGAATAAACATTATAGAAAAGTAACTTTAGAATATATTGAATTACTTTAGAACATATATGAATAACTTTATGTTCTAAACTTGCTTAGAACATAGTTACTTTAGAGCATATTGAATTACTTTAAAACATAAATAATAAACTTTAAAACATAGAAATAAAGTAAATCTAGAACTTAGAAAGTAACTTTAGAACATTAAATGGATTACATTAGAACATAAAAAAATAATATTACATGACATATATATTAGTTTAAAACACTAGAGATTATGTTTGGAAAATAAGAATATTAATTTAGAACACAAAGTATAAATTATATATTAATTTTGACTTAAAACTTAAAGTTAAGAAAATTAGAACATAAGAAAATTAAAAATAAAGTTTACTTACTATATCACTTGACTTTTCCAGGGCAATTACGACTATCATGATAACCAAGCTCCCCACATGCTCTACATAATCTCTTCTTCTTTTGACTTTGTTCAATAGACGTTTCTCTGTCACTCTTCATTCTTTTGTCACTATTTGGAACATGAACCTCATTTGGAACATGGACATCATTTGGAACATTTACCTGATTTGGAACATGAACCTGATTTGGAACATGGACATCATTTGGAACATTGACCTGATTTGGAACATGAACCCCCGTGCCTTTGTTCTTCGAAATTTTAGGAGGTTTGATTAAAACATTAGAAGGTAGACTAGCTCCAATAAGCATTTCAATGTCTTTAACTTTGCTCGAAAGATTGTTGCTTCCATTTGTTTTCTTCTGTTCCAAATCTACCCTCATGGCTCGAAGTTTTTTGACAAGATCACTAAGATCATCTTCATTGTTTTGCACTAAACTCACACAAGCATGAATTTCAGACCACAAATCATTTAATAACATTTTCTTATCTACTGCATTAATACATTCCTCCAACACATTACCCTCTAAATCAAAAATGGGCTTCTTATAAGCCATTGTACACCATCTATTTAGAACGTAGGCCTTGGGAATTTTTTCTAACATCCTTGCCTTCCACACCCAAATCATATGCCTACAAGGCACACCATCACGTTCAAATTTTTTACAAAAACACTTTGTATCAAAGGTAGTTGGATCAAAAACAACATCAAAAGTCCTCCTTCTAGTTCCTTCCCTCAAATTGAAAATGTAAAGCTCATTGTCCTTCTTCATCTCCTCAACACCACAATTAAAACATCCAATTTCAAGCTCATATTGAAATTCATAGAAAATTGTTGTTGTAAACAATTCAGAAGCATCTTTCTCTAAAGGAATTGGAGTCTTACACTCCGGACGCTTATTCTTCGAATCATTATCCATTTTATTTTGAGTGTGCCTTTGAGCATCCAATGCACATTCAAACCTATAGAAAATAGAAATTAACTTTAAAACATAGAAGATAATTGTAGAACATAGAGTGAATTACATTAGAACATATAAATATACATGACATGTTTATTATGATCTAAATATTATTAAAACATAAAGAGAAAAAGAAAACATAAAAGAGAATTATAAAATAAATAGTAAAACTATAAAGCATAAAAAGAAAACTTTAGAGCATACAAGGAAAACTTTAGAACATAAAGAGTAACTTTAGAACATATATAGACAATTACTTATTACCTCATGTAGAACTCAATCAAAGTGAGATGGGGATTTGTGAACATAGTGAAAAAATTATTTTCACTTTCTGATCTAAATGTGGTCCTCATAATGCCACCCAAAAATAAATCTCTGAAATACGCTGGAATCCACATATCACGTATGTTGTACATGTATGCCAACCATTCATGATCGTTCAAATGGAATTCTGAAATAACTTTGTTCCACTTTTCTTCAAATTCTGCCGGCTCAATCTCTAAATGCCAAACACATGAACACAGTTTTTTCAAGAAATCAGTGTCTTGGGCAATCGCCCGACCTACTTTTTCAGGCACCTTTTTCATAATATGCCACATACAAAACCTATGTTTTGTAGTTTGAAAAACATTACGAACAGCAACTTTCATTGCAGGGTCTTGATCGGTAATCAAACACACAGGCTCGTTATTTCCCATTGATTTAAGAAAAGTTTTGAAAACTCATTCAAAAGATGATATATCCTCATGAGCTACAAAAGAAGCCGCAAAAGTAACACATTTTTTATGATGATAAACTCCAGTAAATGGACCAAAGATCATATTATATCTGTAACATACACAAATTATTTATGCAGAAAATGTTACAAAATAGAGGTAAACTTTAGAACATAGAGGTAAATTGTAGAACATAAAGGTATACTTTAGAACATTAAGGATAAACTTTAGAGGATAGTAATTTAATTTAATTATTAAACGTGGCAGTAATATAGTTGTTTTAAAACATAATGAATTACTCTAAAACATAAACACTAAACTAAAAATATACAATGTAGCTTTAAAAACTTATAAGTAAACTTTAGAACATATAGACATAATGTTTAGAACATGATGGATATTAGTTTAGAACACAAAGAATAAAGTGTAAAACACAAAAGCATAATGTTTAAAGCATAAAAGCATGATGGATATATTTTAAAGCATAAGGTAGAACATTAGCAATATATGTTTAGAACATAAGGCATACATAGTTTAGAACATAAAGAATATCTGTTTAGAACATCAAAACATGATGGGTATTTGTTTAGGAACACAAGGCATGATATTTAGAATATAAGAACATATGTTTAAAAAATTAATATGTAAAAGTAAAATATTAATTACATTATGAAAGAAATTTATATTTAAAACATCACCTGTTTGTTTTGAATGTGGTATCAAAAGAAACCATATCACCAAAAAGTGCATAATTTTTTCGACAGATAGGATCAGCCCATAAAGCTCTACAAAGTCTATATTCTTCATCAACATCATAGGAAAAAAAAATGCACTCCAGAGCAATTTCTTATTTTGAAAATTATCCACAAACATTTGGGCATCTGATCCATCAATAAAAGCCTTCAAATCTCTATAAAAAATTTTGAAATCTTGTTTAGATGCACCAACATTATCATGTGATCCAGCTAATTCTTTCATCATAGTATAAGACCTCACAGGACCAACATTTACCTGTTAGAAAAAAAAAATATTACTAAGATTAAGAATTAACTTTAGAACATAGTAAATCAAAACAAAAAAAACATTATTTAGTACATAAAAATAAATCACCTTTGAATTATCAACAATCAATTTTTTATGCATAATATGCATTTTTCTATTATCCTTCTGAAATTTTGCACAACTTGGAGTATATAAAGGATGATTATGTTCTTCTTTGAAATGAGTTACAACATACTTTCCACCATCATATCTCATACATATGTGAGCATTGCATCCTACACGAGTGACTAAACGTTTCCTAGTAATACGAACTTTTCCTTCTTCATAAACTGTTTGTTGAGCAATAGGTTTTCTTATTGCCCTAAAACCTTCCTTATTGCAAACTCCATATTGAAAAGCAATTATATCTTTGTTATTCTTCTTCCTTTTAGTAGTAGATTTCCTAGAAGTAAACCCAGCGGCATTTGCATATGCTTTATAAAAACTAAGACCCTCTTCAGGATCTTTAAATATCATCCCCAAACTGGGTTTTAACTCCTCGGGAACACTTGGAATCCATTCCTTAGTGGTACCATCAGGGCTAAATGATCCAACAACCTCTGGAGTACGATAAATATCACCAACTGCATTAGAACATGAAAGTAAACATTAGAACATACAATGAAAGTCCTAGAATATGAAGAAAACATTAGAACATAAAAAAAAAACTCTATAATATAAAGAGAAAGATACATAGAAAACTTTAGAACATACAGAGAAAACTTTAGAACATCAAGGATAAACTTTAGAACATAGTAAATTAGGGACATACTTATAACATATTGCTTTAGAACATAGTGAATTACTTTATAACATACATAATAAAATTTAGAATAAAGTGAAAAAATTAAACTAGAAGGTCAACTTTAGAACATACAATGAAAGTAAACATTAGAACATAAAAAGTAAAATTTAAAACTAGAAGGTAAACTTTAGAACATAGAATGAAAGTTTTAGAATATAAAGATAAAGTAGGATTCCCTACTCCCTATGTCAGATTGGTGGGGCCATGGTTCGGTGATTCCAGTAGCAGTGACATGCATCAACTATCCCTATGTCAGATTGCTAGGATAAAGTAGCATTCCCAACTCCCAAGCCCCCAATGCCCAGCTCCAAGACGAGCCTTGAGGTTGTTGTGGCATTATCCGATAATGATTGATATTGTTTACCCACAGTTTACTTTGAATCATTACAAATTATTTAAAATGGATTAGATATTTTTTATTTATCAAATTATTTAACTTCCTCAGATTAGTACCATAATATTTTATTTTAGCTCATGTTATTTTTTGCACTACTTGAATTATACTCCGTATTTGGTTTTGGCCAAGCAATATAGTCATGTTAAGAAATAAAAATAGTGGATAAAATCCATCTAATTTTAGTTTGTAGTACTAAACAGTGCTCCAACAGAGAACAAACAATCTCAAAAAAGTTTGAAAAGCCTAGTGAAGAAATATTAAATCAGTGATTTGCAAGTGCATGTGTGGGGTTGCAAATTATAGACTCTACACTCTAACATAGCTTGTGAAAATATCTCTGCTATTTCATTAAGATGTGACTCATGACAATTCTAAATTAGTATTGTCGTTTACCCTTATCACTAGGACTCACTACTACACATTCAATTCCATGTGAAAATATACAGTGTCAGTAGCAGATTTCAATTGCGATTGGTACATTTATGGTATATTTGGATGAAGCATCTAACACGTACTACTTTTTATAATCCTTCATCAACCACTCTTTCATACTCCGATGTATTCTGCATTCTAAAAGGAGTTCAACAGGCAACGGAACATGGCATTTGCGCTTATCATTCGGATGGGAACATATAGAGAAAACTTTAGAACATTACCGATAAACTTTAGAACGTAGTAAAGAAACTTTAGAACATGTAAGTAAATTGAAATTAAAACATTAAAAACAATAAAATTACCTGAATAAGTAACACAAGAAGAAGGATAATTAGGTTGAACACCATCTAAATCCATCAATATGCAAAAACCTATTTAAAAAAACACATATTGTAGCAAAAAAGCAACTAGAAATTAAAATCCATTAAAAATCAAAAATCAAAAATCTGGAAAAAAACTCAAGCAAAGGAAAAAACAGAAAATCTGGAAATGAAAAATCGCAAAAAAAAAAAAACAAAAAAAAACAGAAAATTAATGAAAAAAAACTGAAGAAAATTCGCAAAAAAAAAAAAAAACAGATAAAATCGAAAAAAACAGAAAATAATTGCTCGAAAGTCGGAAAAAAAAAAAACAAAAAAACATATAACATCGAAAAATTCTGGAAATGAAAAATCGAAATTGATGAAATTAATGAAAAAACTCAAGAAAATTCGCAAAAAAAAAAAAAAAAAAAAAAAAAGAAGAAGATAAAATCAACATAAACTGAATGATGAAATCGCAAAAAGAAAAAAAAACAGATTTTTGCTGATTTTCGAATTGATGAATTGCATATCCACAAATAATTAGAAAAAATAAAATTTCTCACAAATTCGCCAAAATAAAAAAATTCAACAAAAATTCGCAAAAAATAGATATCAATAAATAAATTAACTAAAAGGATAATCAAAATTATAAAAATTGAATAACAAACCTTAATTTCTTGAAGGAATTTGCATCCAAAAGTATGAGAGGAGAGAGAGTTGTAATGTATGAGAGGAGAGAGAAAGAGTTGTAAATTTGTAATGTATGAGAGGAGAGAGAGAGCTGTAATGTTCCAAGCCCAAAAAAAAAGGAAAGAAGAAACGTGAATAAGGAGAAAGAAAGGGAAAAGAACAGCGAAAATTACTAAAATGCCATTACTAATCATTTATTTTCAGCGGTCAGATCAAACTAATTGTACGGTCCAGATTAGTTCTTATATATAATGGGTTCTTATATAGAGGAGGGTTCTTATATGAGCCTTCCTCTATATATATATATATATATATATATGTATATATATATATGTGTATGTATATATATATATATGTATATATGTATATATATATATGTATATGTATATATATGTATGTATATATGTATATATATATGTATATATATATATGTGTATATATATATGTGTGTATATATATCCTCTCTTTTTATCTTATATATATATATATATATATATATATATATATATATATATATATATATATATATATATATATATATATATATATATGTATATGTGTGTGTATATATATATCCTCTCTTTTTATCTTGCAATATAAGCTTTTTATCTTACAATATAAAAGAGGGTATGAGATTATTATCCAAAGTGCCAACAACTTTTATAGCCAAAGAAACTATAAGGAGCCAGTCAAGAACCAATATAATGAGAATACTCTGATATAGAGAAGGGTATGGTCATCTATAGAATGTCGGATCAATTAGGATTTGGCTCTAATGTGTCTATCGAATCCTTGATTTCCATGTATTCGAAATGTAAAAATTAAAGGTTGATAACTAGAACGCCATGATCATAGGTTTTGAAAAAAAAAAAATGGGTAAATGATTATTGTATAGTTATTGATAAATTTATTTAAATTTTCATGTTAATTTTTTTAACGTTTTT